ATTCTCGTTTTAATTGATAAATATATGGTGTATTTTGACCCATAATTGATCGAATGAATAATGCTAAATCTGGTACAGCTTGTTTTTCTAATTGAAAAAATTCTCCAATTAATAGACAATGATGTACAGACGGATAAAGTTTTATTAATAATTTAAGTGTCAATGCCATATTCATTGTGAACATTGATAATAAAGAACGACGTGTTGCTAAACGCATTGGTAATGATGATGATTCAATAAAACTATCATCTGTTTGTGTATGAACATCATATGTAGATAAACTCTTATCATACGATAATGATCGTCTATTTGACCAACCACGATAAATATAATGTGGAGTTTTCGATATAGAATAATCACAAGGACAACATCGTTGTGGTAAACGTGTAAAACTAGTTAGTGGTAATTCAGATGGAAATGTTGCTGATAAACGATGACAATGTTTACATAAGTCTTGTCGGGTAAAATCAAATGAAACAGGTGGTGGACGTCGAATTGAAAATGATGATGTTGAAGGTGATCTAGAAAAGCTAATATTCGACGTTTCAATCAGGGAAATAGAATACTTTTAATTTTATTACTACTGGAAAAATATAACTTGTTAGATAAGTAATGAACGTGCTCTCGTGTGGTATTTTAACATATCTACGAATACCCTAGCATCAAAATTGATCTACGTTTTAGTTTTTAGGTGGAGAGACGCCCACCCGTCAGATAAAACATCGGTTTTAGCTTACAAAAATGATGGACAAATACGTCGACGTACATTTTAGAATCATCGTAACAGCTAATTAGGACATGTTCTAATTTTTCCGTGGTAAAAATCTTATCGAACTTCATTTAGTTCATTATACCCTATTGTAAATATGTGTATTACTCATTTTTATATCTATGAGAATTTAACAAAAGTAATACAAGATAGGTTAGATCACTTTTCAATACTATGGATCCTAATGTAGGCGATTAATATGTATACCAGACGAGCCCACGGGTGAGATTGTGGGACCGGTTCCCATCCCCGCCTGAAAATTACAAATACCTGGAGGGAAGTCCGGCTTTATAAAATGTTGCAAGCCGAAAAACAGTTTCTCTACGCGGTAATCTCCCTCCTAAAACAGTTGATCCCTCCTCCGAAAAACAATTATTGAGTGCGTGCCTACGAACCATATGTGGCATGATTGATGATGAGCATGTCCGGTTTATTAATCAAGTCTAATACAGCTAGAGTAGAAACAATAAGTTTCTAGGCGTTATAGTTAAAAACTTATGATCTACATATTAAGCATAATCGAATTTTCAAAGAATGATATTTACATTTGTTGATCGTTTTTTGGATCATATCCCGGTTGTAAAAGTTTCATTAAATTTGCATAAGTTCTATAACATAAATTATTGGATGTTAATACTGAATATTTACTTGATGAATGAACAATATAAAAAAATGTACTTGCTGCTTCAGCATGAACAAGTATATATGGATAAAATTGATGATTTTCTTCGTTTTTTTTTATCATCAAAAATTGCAATTAATTCATCATGTTTATCAATATTAATCATTCGATTATTTCCAAGAAAAAAATCTAAACCAATCATATAAGATTCCACACGATATTGAATAATATCAAAATTTAAATTAATTTTATTTAAACGTGAAGAAATTTTTCTTTCATATTCATTTGTTTGTTCACCTGTTAAAGCTATATTAAGTACAAATGTTGATGCTATAGATGATTTATAATTAATAAATGATTGTAAACGTAAAAGAATAAGATCAAATTCATCATGTGTTAATGTAAATAAACGAAAATTAACTTCTTGTTCAATTGATGATTGTAATTCAACATTTGATATTGACCAATTTTGATGTTCATTATTAATAATTAAAGAAATAAGATAACGTTGAAAAACAACCGTAGAATAATCAATATTTTGTGGATAAAGTTCAAGTAAAACAAGATGTACACCTGTTGTTGTTACATTTATTCCCATTGCTGGTACATGACATGGTGATGAAGAATAAAATTGTACGGCATCTTTATTAATGAGAATTGGTTCTTTTTTTGATGGAACTAGTGCTAACGAACAAAAGAAGAAAAAAACAATATTTCATGTATGAAATGAAGTAATATTATAGATTGACTAATGTCTAATCCCATTGGGTTTGCAAAGAGTATAGATAATGTAAATTCTTGTTTTGGTATTAAATTTATGCTTTAAAGTATGTTTACGATAAAGATTAATTACATCTATAATTCATAATTGTAGATCGGCTTTTTATGTATAAAGGAATAAGCAAATAATTCAATAAATTTTTCTGATAGCATATTTTCAGAAAAATAAATGATCTCTTCTATATACTTCAAAGTCCACTACTATTTTGTATCAGAGAGCGACAGGGGCGGTGCGAGTCAGTCAACAGTAAGGGGTATACCAAAAATATTTGGAGTAAAAAGATGAATTTTGCGATTTGGGGTGGGGGTGCATTATTTTTGGTAAAAAACCTAAACAAATTTGCTAATTTTGTTGAGCAAAAAATTGGGGGTGGGGGCGTTATACCCTTCCGGTCACGCCACCCCTAGAGAGCGAAAACGAACCAAAATCAAGTCGAACCAACAAAAACTCGGTTCTACTTTGTACTAACTGATAACGATAATGTTAAATACGTTAAAATTCTGAATCGATCAATGTCGTAGTATAATAATCCTCTTTTTAATGTATTCAGCTTCGAGAACTTTTATTCTATTTCGATGAGAAAAATCAAATTCTTCACGAATCTAAACATACTTGTTTGAGTTAATTTATTTATTGGTTCAACAGTTATAATCACTGGAGATTCATGTTCAGTTGTTGTTAATATTGATGAATTACATCGCGATGAAAATGTCGATGAAAAACTTGATGAAAAAGTTGATGGAATATTTGATGATGAATGTCCGCCATCCATAGATAAAAAACTTGAATAATGTGATGATGATGATGAGGAGGAGCATTTTTCTTCATTAATTTTTTTTGATAATATTGGTGGTTCAGTATCTTCATGATGTTGTGTTTTTAAATTATTATTATTTCCTTTTGAGAGAAGTTCAACAAGTTTTGTTACAGTTTCAAATCGTTTTATTGGTCGTGTTATAGTTATATTTGATTTACTTCTTGATGGACCACGTTTTGGTTTATAAAAATAATCATTATCTTCATCGCGTAATTTTTCAAATGAACGTGGTGATAAAGAACGACGAAAGAAATTTGAATGACTACGATCATTATTAACAAATTCATCTCCATTTGTAGCAGCCATGTTTTGAATTTACTTTTTTTTTCTATCGATGAATTCTATAATAAAAATACAAAACAAAGAGTTTTTAATGATATCATACTATCAATCTTGAGTATATATATATATCCTTATACGATACGGAAAAAGAAAGAAGAAAACAAAAAACCACAAACGTCAATAATACCATACAAGTAAGTTCATTTATACTCTTTGCGTTCTTTTTTGTGGCATTTTTTTACTATTTGCCGTAAAAAAAGACTAAGATTAGATGATTTGTTGTTTTAAGTATTTTTGTTAGGTTATGGACACTACTTAAACTATGTGTTTTTCTTTTACAAACTTCTATTCAAGAGACTATTAATATATAAAAAAAAGCTTTTAAATCAATAAGAAGAAGAAAAAAAAGAAGTTGTGAAGTTTTAAACGAATATGTAAAAAGAACGTCATCATTGAACAATTACTAACAATGTATGAATAAATATGTAAGTTATCAAAAGTGTGTGCTCATTCTCAGCTATTAGCTGTGAGTAAATACATCCTTTTTTTTAATGTTAAAAATGCCAAATGCTCGTTTTTCATCTCCTATCAGCGTGTCAAGTACAAATATAAATATAGTGCAATACTTAATCGTATACTTATAAAGTTTATCTCATGAAACCACGTAAATTATCGAAGGAAGAATGAATGTATAGCGAATAAAAAAATATATGTTTTTATAGATTATGTCACAAGAAAAAAGGATAAGAGTATTCGAAAATACATAACGATAACGTATTGCGGTTAATATTATAGATACTTATTTTGCTTTGAAAAAAATATAGATACAACTTCTCTAAAGTAAATTGTCTATATATAAAGATAATACTAACATTGTGTTTTCAATAATATATCATAGTTATATAAGTATAAACACCAGTTGTCACTCATAGTTTTTTTTGTGTGTAGGAATCTGAATAGCATGATTGAAAAGTAAAAAGGTGAAAGAAGTGTGGATAAATAGAAATAGCATTGTACAAGAGTCTTGACCTTCAAACTTACGTATACATTTTTTTCTTACGGCAATGATGCTGCCTGTTCATTAAGTTTCTTCGTCATCTTTTACAAAGAATATACATAACTGATGTAAAATTAGCATAACATACTTACTCCAAACACTGTATAATGCAAGTGAATGTATTAAGTGATTTACAGGAGAAGCGCTGCTACGACAATCATCACCATCATCATCATCGGGCATTCAGAATAGCAATAACGAAGAAGAAGAAGAAGAAAAAAAATCCTAGACATTCTTTTTTTTCTCCTTCTTTCTATTGATTATAGTATTGTATCAAAGTTTGTATCAGATCAATTGTAATTGATTACATCATGAAAAATTGAATTGTAATTCTTCCTACTTGAAATTCTCATTTTCTTCTATTTGTCAATTCATTTAAACATCATTTTTATGTATATTTTTTATTTTGTCGCGATGCACACATAATAATAAATTTCGTCATCGTCATTTTTTTTTCTACTTTAAAAATTATTGATCAGTATATTAGTGGAAAGGTTAAAATAGGTTCAAACGATTTTCACTATTCA